CAGCCTCTTTTGAGCCCTTTTCGTCCAGGGCAAATATTCCATCACAGCAAGTAAGTATCAGTTCTGGCCAACCTGGCCCACCAAATAAGCACAGAAAGGGCAGTCCTCACAGTCAGGTCACCCCAGCACCCCAGAATAAAAGTACTCTTGTAAAGGAACCAAAAGTTGCTAGAAAGGCAAACCAGACCAACTTCGATGGCATGAGGGGTCCCATAAACCATTTCTTGTTAAGAATCTTAACCCTGTTCTAATGCATATTCATGACCGTTCCTACAACATTCATTACATATTCATTTTCCCCTCAATTCACTACCTGGAGCCCAAGTATAAAACTGCAATCCCCCCTTTTCAGGCACTTGCCTTGGCAACGCTAGTCCCAGCCTTCATCTTGCTTGGTCGCCCAAAGCAAGCTTGCCTTTCTCACTTTCCTCCAGTCTGTCTTTGTCTAAGGGCACTGAGGTGCATCCAGGCCTGATGTGTGATGTTTGGGTCAACAGAAGTGGTGCTGTGCCTGTGTGGGCGCACACCTGAATTGCCGGGAACTTTCCTCTCACTGTCTTCTAGAGCCCTAAGCTGACATCTAAGAAGTCTGGGTAACTCTGCTGGAGAGAGAGGCCATGTGGAGAAGCATAACGGCCAAAGTCAATAGTGACTCATAAAAACAAAAACAAAGTAAGTAAGTAATGCCAGGCATGCACAGTAGAGTAAGACTCCTATGTCGTTGCTAGGTGTCCTCGAGGTAGCCTGTGTAATATTGGAATAGCACACGGCAGTGTAGAACTGCCCCTGTGGGTTTCTAAGACGCACTCTTTACAGGAGTGGAAAGTCTAAGGTTTCTCCAGTGGAACAGCCGGTGGTTTCAAACTCCCGACCTTGCCACTCCAGCCCAATGTGCAATCACTAAGCCAATAGGGCTTCTAGTTTGAAGGCACACAAGTGAAAATAAATAATGAAGGTATCTGGGATGAGAGTCCGGCTGAACCTTCAGATGACTTCAGGCCAGCTAGTATCTAACTACACCTCAGAAAAAAACCCCAAGTAAGAACGTCACAGCTATGCCCCTTCATAAACCAGAGAGATAATAAATGTTTGTTTGCAGAATGTATTTGGGAGTAGTTTGTTACTCAACAACGAGTCATCAGGCCGCACCACTTCCTAAGAAAAGCACCCTCTGGTGCCCCAGACCAGATTAATGTCCTTGTTAGGAGTTTCCATGGCACTTGCTCTCTGTAAATCACACCCCCCAGATTTGTAATCACTGATTCCCTATCAGTGGTTGCTGTCGGGCAGAGACTGGGTCTACTTTGTTCACTCCTGGATTCAGTTCAGTCAATGTTTGCTGAATCGACAAATAGCATATTTTGAGTATCTATCTTTAGGATTAATTTGAAACTGTATCATGTTTTCCTTTGTTGTCAGTACCTCTGACTTCCAGCCCTCTCATCAAGTAATGACTACTTCCAGAAGGACATAAACAATAAATGCAGCTATTGCTTTAAGAAAAGCCCCAAGTGGAAGCACGGGGAGAGGGGGAGGGGGGGTGCCTCACTCTTTAGAGTAATAAATGAGTGAACAGACCAGGGTGAGCAGCTCAGCTCTTTGCAAAACAGTGACATTTACTGAGGGCTGCAGCTATTTATTCATCCCATAAACATGTATTGAAGCACCTACTGCACTTTAGGCACAGGTGATAGAGCAGTGAACAAAACATATCCAAATCCTGCCTTTTGGGAACAGTTCCAGGGAAGCACTTACTTTACGTTGTAGGAACAGCTCTAAATGCTTCCCATGCCTTGACTCGCTCATTCATTATGGCAGCGGTTCTCAACCTGTGGGTCGCGACCATTTGTGGGTCAAATCACCTTTTCACAGGGGTCTCCTGATTCATAACTAGCAAAATGGCAGTGATGAAATAGCAACGAAAATAATTTTATGGTTGGGGGGTCACCATAACATGAGGAACTGTATTCAAGGGCCGCGGCACTCAGAAGGTTGAGAACCACTGCATTGAGGTATGGGAGAAAAGGCTGTGTCACAGTGGGGCAATCCAATCCCATCCCATCGCAACCTGCACTCCTCTAAGAAACCTTCCTGAGTGTCTCGACTTTTAGTGTCTCAACTTCTCCAGCTGCCTAAAGCCCCACCCCAAAAAAGCCCATTGTCAAAGTGTCATATTTC